CTACACAGCAGGGACCAGGGCAGCCAGGGCTACATGGTGAGATCCTGTCTCTAAAGAAAAAGCATTCAAGGCTAGTCTTAGATACACAGACTAGTCTGGGATGCATAAGATCCTGTCCACAACAAAAACAAAAACAAAAAAGAAACCTAACTATATGTCAAGTAGGCAAAGCCTTGGAGCCAGGAGCTAGATAAAAGGTTGCCAGGGACTGGGGAGAAGGTTGTCCTGGGAAGGGTCTGCCTGCCAATGGCTATACAGTTCCTTTGGGAATAACAAAGCATTCTGTAGTAGACAGCACAGATGGCTGAGCTAGCTAAACGTGCACCTACACCAGCTAGCAAGCTCCAGGTCCCTGCTGACTCTGCCTGACCTACTTCAATGATGGGTTGGGCTGTGACCTACAAGTTTAAGCAAAACTTCCTCCCCAACTTGGTTTTGGTCAGTGTTTTATCCCAGCAACAGAAAGGAAGGAAGGACACTTGAAAACGTCCAGATTTGACAGTGGCAGGTTTGTGGGTGGCTGTGCTGAGGGCCACACCCCTTCTTCCTTGGTAAGGAGGCATTGTTTGGGCTGCTGTCTGCTCAGGACAGCATGTCTGCCCCAGGGGTAAGAGCTAGGCAGGCCTGTGCCTTCCCAGAGGAGCCCAGGGAAGACTCAGTAGCAGCCAGGTCTCTGAGCCACAGTCTGCAGAAACAGCTCCAGCTATTCCAGCAGAAACCAGGATATTTACTGCCAGAGGCCCTACAGAGGAGGCTCATTTAGCCAGAGCTAAGGGTGCCTGTGTCATCACAAGCATTTCCGGAAAGAGATCCGAGGACATCTAGCATTTGCTGTTTCTTTGTACCTTCTTTATTGTTACTGCCCTGCCAACTTTGCCATGAAAGGAGCTAAATGGCCAGATATTAGAGGCGCACATACAGGCTATAGTGGTAACTATGCTCAGACAGTGTAGCCACCCTTGGAATCCTGGGGGTTGGTTCCAAGACCCTCTCCCCAAATCAGAGGCTCTTCAGACCCCTTCTACAAGATACCACAGGACTTCAAAGAACACACACACACACACACACACACACACACACAGTACTTCTTCTCAGCCTTCAAATCATGTACCTAGTCCACCCCTTCCTGGTCTTCAGACCACCTTTGGAGCCCCAGAATACTTAACACAGTGGCAAGGCTGTGTAAACAGAGAGCTTTGTTATACTGTACTCTTTGGGAACTCATTCTAAGAAAAAGAAGACAGAGTATCTGAAAAGAGTTTAGAAACATGGGTTTCTTGGGTCTTGTCCTAGAGGTCAGATTTGTGAGACTGAAAATTTCACACACGGCCAAGATGTTCAAGGGACACTGGCAGCCACAAAACACGGCAAGCGGCCTTTAAGCTGTGGTCCAGCTCTGCACAGTGAAACAAGGTGGGCAGAATGTCCTATTGGCCCAGCGTGACGGCGTCCGCCTTTTAACCCCAGCAAACTGGATTCAGAGGCAGGTGGATCTCTGTGACTTAAAGGCCAGATTGGTCTACACAGTGCATTCTGGCATAGCCAAGGGTATGTACCCAAACTGTCTCAAAAAATTTAAAACAAGCAAAAAGTCCTTGTCAGCCGGCTGTGGTGGCTCACACCTTTAATCCTAGCACTTGGGAGGCAGAGGCAGGTGGATCTCTGTGAGTTCAAGGCCAGCCTCGTCTACAGAGCCAGTTCCAGGACAGGCTCCAAAGCAATACAAAGAAACCCTGTCTCAAAACCAAACCAAACAAACAATCAATCAAACAACCAAACAAAAGGTCCTGGTAAAAAAAGGAAATGCAAGTTGCAAGTTGGCAAGGCTCAGGGGGTTAAGGCACTTGTCACCGATTCTCAGGCAGCCTCTGGCCTCCACTAGTGAGCTGCAGCATGTGTGCAAATGTATGCACACACACATCAAGAAAGGGAGTGTGCGTGATTGGTCTGAAGGAAGGGTGTCCCTTATAGGCACAGGCATTTGGACACTTGGTCCCCGGTGGGTAGTGCTGTTTGCGGGAATAACACAGCTTTGCTGGAAGAGGCCATCACTGGGGGAAGGAGCGGCCTCACGCCATTTCCAGTTCACTGTCCGCTGTGTGCCTGGAGTTGAAGATGTGAGCTCTCAACTGCCGCCATGACAGACTCACCTCTCTGGAATCATTAGCCCGAGTGTAACTTTTCCATAGGTTGCCTTGGGCATGGAATTTAATCACATCAACAGGAAGATAAACAGCACACACACAAACACAAATGCACGCAGAGCAGAGGCCTCTTCTTGTGGCCCGTGTTTTAACTTTGCCTTTTTAAAATTTGAGTGCTGGGGATCAAACTCAGGTTTTGCTGCGTAGGCAGGCGCTTTATCACTAAGCACTGTCTTTTCAGCCTTTTAGCCTGTCTCATGACAACATGTAATGCATGATGATCCTAGGGCAGCCATTGTGGACCCATGAGGTAAAGCAGCAACGGAGAGGGCAGGCACAGAGTGGAATATGCCACCAACCACCCGTGGGTTTCCTGTCACATGCCACTAACAGTCCAGGTGGAGTTTAATGCAAACATGTGTGGCAACAAGAAGGTGTGTATGATGTCATGCACTGACCCGGACCACGACTGCTGTGAGTGGCCCCTCTAGACAGGACAGGCACTCCATTTGGGGCTCACTCGGGCCCCAGACAAGTGAGTGTGCAATCCTGCCCTGTGCAGTTTCCAGAGCTGGTCAAAGGCTTCTGGAGTCCTGGATCCTGCAGGGGCCAGCCACACCCAGCTGGAAGTGCAGCCCCCTCCTCTGCTTGCTTTTTCTCGGATGCTAGGTGCTGGCTCCATGCCCTCCCCTTGGTCATCAGCCTTCTGAGGACAAGGGCTGGCCTGAGTCATCCTGTTCTTTGCTCTCCACCTGGGCCCACTCCAGACACCCATGAGTGGACAGTGAGTATCCCCTGAGGTACAGACTAGTCCAAGTTCAATCCTAGCTGCTTCTCAGCACGTCCTACCCTTTGTCTATCAGCCTACCCTGGAGTGTTCAAGCCTTTAACTGCCATCACAAGACTGAAACTGTACCTAGTCCCCTGACTCGGGAAGTGGCCTGGGATAAAGTCACTGCATAGGACCTTCCACAGTATGGTCAATCAGCACACACCCCAGTGAACAGGAACTAACCTGTGGAAAAGACAGGGGCCAAGGAAAAGACAGGGGCCAAGGCAAGGCAGTCTTGCAGTTTTGCCTTGAGCTCTGCTGTCCTCACAGAGGCCCCCAGGGCCTGCAGACTGTACGTGAACCCGAGAAGCAAGGCCTTTTTTTTTTTTTTTTTTTTTTTTTTAGCCATTCCGGATCTAACTTAACCTTTGATGTGTACCCTGTGCTGGGGTGCAGCTAGGCAGTGTGAGGCTCTGTGCCCCCCTCAACATCTGCCTGTACTCTTCATTGCTGGCCAGCTATCACCCAGCCAAACATGCTGAACAACTCACTGCCTTCTCTCTTCTCAGCCCCTGGTGGCTACAATTCCATCAGTTCCCCTCCTAGAGGGGCTACGCGCTCTCTGTCCTTTTGTTAATCTTTTATTTCAGTTAACACAAGGGTTAGGGTTCATCTCTATTGCAGCATATGTCAGGATTGATTGCCTTCCTTCCATTGCATGCCTATCCTGTCCATCATATGTATGTATTATAACTCATCACACACACACGTCATATGTTGTCTATCTATTCCTCTGTCAGGCATGTAGGTGTGCACAAAGCTGCTTACATTAGTTCTTTCATGTCTCAGGCCTGACTCCCTCCGAATCAGTGGGGATACTGACCTCAGACAGGGAATTCTCCAGGCCAGGCTCTGTTCTACTTGAGGAGGCAGAACCCCGGTCTGGGCTCAGAGGTGACCTCTAAGGACACACTCTGGACCCAGGGAAGCCAGAGTGAAGGGCCCATAACCCAGGAGCTACTTTGCATGCCTTCTGATTCGGGGAAGGGCGAAGGGTGCAGGAGGCAGGCATACCACAGCACGGAGAAGGGCGGACAAGGCAGGCCTCTGTTTCCAAAAGGGCAGGCATGCTGCAGAGGCGGCCCTGAGGCCGCAAAGGGCAACACAGGCCACAGGGGCAGAGGTTACAAAAAGGAAGAACACGCCTGGACTGGGGGCTTCACAGAAGTCCTTAGTGAGGGACCCATGGGGGTGTCTGGAATGCTCTGATTTGACAGATGGCCCTAGCTTGGCAACTCCTGAAGCAGAGGGACACAATGCGGATACTCAAAGGGCCGGGAACTCTGGCGTACCAGGGGCTACAATCTTGGCCCTCAAGCTGTGTGTTTGCGTACTTTGGGGTAAAGAGTAATGGCTGGACAAAGGCGGAGTCCAGTCCTCCCAGAGTCCCTCTCCCAGCCAGCTCTAAGCAACTTCCAACTGCTTACATAATATTTTTTGGTGCCAAAGTGTCTAGGTTCAGGTACCAAATGATGACAGCAGGGGAAGGTGTAACCACTAGCAAGACATGAAATGCTTCTCTGGAATGCTGAGTCAAACATACCCAAAAATGTCATGGCCAAGGTACAGACAGACGGGGACTGTCACTCAAGGAGCCGTCAGGAGCGCATGGGGGTGGAGGGGCAGTTCTGAGGCTTCCTCCTTCCAGGTGATGCCAGCCCAAAGTGCTACTCTCTGATGTCCTGTGGCTCTCCTCCCTAGGGCCTTGGAAGAATCTGGATAATGAGCTGTCGTTTTGAGTCAGAGCCTGCCTGGGGCAAACCCACCATTCTGGACAGAGTAAGGGTCCCAGGAGGTTGTGAAGTCAGCCTGGGTTTGGTCACTGAGAACTGGACCCACAGCTTGGGAGAGGTGCCAAGGAGCCTGTTGGCTCTGCTTATCACTAAGACTGGAGCCGGAGCCAAAGATGTGCTGCCTGATGCTTCCATCACAGGTGATGCAGTCCCCACAGCATCCTGGGCTGGGGTGGGGGTTGGGAAACAGGCTCCCGTGTGTGAGCAGACACCCTGCACCCTGGTACTTACCAGGCTGACGGAACAGTCCATCTATGCTGAGATCCCAGAGGAGAACAAAAGCTCTCGAAGATGTTTCTGGAGGCCATGTTAACAACTAAGAAGAACACAAAAATAATTTATTGCAGAGTAATAGTAGCAAGACTTCATACAAATATATTTTTTTTTTGTTTGTTTGCTTGTTCTCAAAGAACCTCAGAGGCGGGATCTCATGTAGCCAACGCTGGTCTAAAATTCACTGTACAGTTAAGGATAACCTTGGACTCCAGGTTTTAATGCCTCCATCTCCCAAGTGCTGGGATTCTAGGTATAAACCAACAGGAACAATCTTATACATGTATATAATACTATGTATTAAATATATCTCATTTAATGTTTCCAAGTCAATAGGGTGGAGGGCTACTGTCATCATTGTTGCTTTACAGATGCCAAGACTCCCTTCCTCCTGCCCGGAGACAGCAAGCAAAGCGGAAGCCTGTATCTGGAAGGTGATCTTACAGGCTATGCCCGGCTCGACACCCCCATCCTCAACTAGGACAATTCTCACGGGTCACCTGGTTCTAGAGCATAGCATATCCCCGGGCCCTGCTCTCCATCCCTACCACACAATGAGGGGACTGCTGGAGCCTGATTGTAATGTCTCCTGCTCGATGGGGCCTACGGCTTCTCTCCCTCTCAGCCGTGTTAAGGGCTCCTCCCCTGTATTCTAACCTCAGATCTAAAAGCTTTAATGTCTACCAAGACGATATAAATTCACTGGGATGTAGTTGCACCTGTCAAGAGTGCCAAGGCCTGGGCTGTTTACCTGGAGTGTGCAGTGTACCCACAAGAGGCCTGGGAGCAACAAGAGGCAAAACCAGGACCTGCCAAATCCCAGTGACAACAGGGTAGCTTCCCCCCCCCTCTCTACTTTGTTTGTTTGTTTTCGAGACAGGGTTTCTCTGTGTGTAGCTCTGGATGTCCTGGAACTCGATCTATAGACTAGGCTGGCCTTGAACTCAGAGATCCATCTGCCCCGCCTCCTGAGTGCTGGGATTAAAGATGTGCCCTACCACTGCCTGGCAACATTAGGGTATCATTTCCAAGGCAGTGGCCACCTGAGCAGATGTGGTAACTTCTAATTGTCACTTCTCATTTAGAATGAATCCCAGGGTCGCCTGGATAGCCTGAGACCTGACCAATGGAGCTAATTTTGCTTGGACAAGGTCAGCTACAGCCTCCCATTCCTATGTGGGAATGGGGCCTGGTGTCATTCGGCCATGTATCTAGACATGTGAAGGAAGTCTGCCCTGAGCGTCCATCCCTCTCTGTGTCTGGTTCTCCTCCTGCCTGAGGTCTAGGCGTTTCTGACCTCCCGTGAGAACCCTGCAGTGGGTTTAGGGAGACAGAGGCACGAAGCAGGACCTGTGCCCTTGCTGTTGTTCCTTGCCCAGACCCTAAGCAGAGCTGGGGCTGCAGGAGGGGTCAGGCTTAGGACCAGACCCTAGGACTTTCTCATTTAACCCACACTGGACTGCTGGATCCACCACACAAAGCTGACACCAAAGCCTCGCCCAAAGTGATGGAAGGCAAAGCCACAGGGCCTGAGTCTGCCTCCTCAGGTCTCAACTCCTCCCCCTGTGCAACCCCTCTTGGTGAAATGCAGGTAGCACAGCAGATGGAGATGCTTCTCCACGCTGTGCAGGCCTGAATTCCAGAACCCAGTGGAGACGGAAAAGGGGGGGTACTTGTGTGACCCTCTGTGGGCGACATCTTAGAGGGTTCTTTGTGCCTCCTAATGGCCAGTTGTGTGTTTTGTCCTACTCTGTGCAGGGAGCAGGGAGAAACTCACTGTGGGCACAGAATAATGGCTGACTGTTCCCAGCCCCGACCGCCCTGCAGTCCCAATCCCCACACCAGGGACTGGGAGCAGCAGAGTGACAGGTCCCAGGAGTCCAGCACCCTTCCTCTCCAGGACAGTAGCACACAAGGGTCCCGGGAGAGTGCAGGGAGCTTTATCTGGAAGGGAGCCAGCCCGCCAAGCTTGAGAAGTGCCTGGACACTCTACCCTGCATGGTAGCCCTGATCCACAGCTGGGCTCCAGGCCTCAACTGGCAGCTCTGGCACCAGCTGGGACTTGTGAGCAGCCCATCCCAGACAGGGGCAGGTCTGGGCAGGGGCCAAGGCAAGGCAAGTGCAGGACCTCTGGGTGGCAGCAGTAGGTCCCGGGCTGTCTGCTGGCCTTTCACCTACCAGAAGTTTACAAGCCTTGACGCAAAATATTCCTCCAGGGAGGAAACTGGGGCCACCTTCAGCTTCACAGAGCAGCAAACCAGACACTCCAGAGTCTATAGCAACGGACTCTTGAGCTCTGACCTTCAGGGCTGCAGAGGGGCCTGGGAAGCCCCCTCCAGCTGTGCCCCTGGGATGAGCCACTTCATGACCCTGATAGTAGGAGCAGGGGGTGTGGGAAGGCAAGGGGGAAAGGTGGTGTTTATGTGGGCAGTCTTGTTGACTAGAATGGACCCAGTCACTCAGTTCGAAGCCTGTTGAGAACAACTCCAGGCAGCTCAGGAAAGGCACACCCCTAGAGGCATACAGTCTCCGGGTGCCGGGCAGATACTTCCAGACAGACTCCATCTCTGGGGTCAGTTGGCTCCCTGCTCCTCCTGGACCTTGGCGTCTTTACCATTATAGTAAGGATTAATCCTTACCAGCCCTCCTCCATCCACTGGATCTGAAGTATTCCAAGCAGAAAGGAGCTCAGCATCCAGCCAATCTGACCCTTGGGCCTGAGCTAAAGGTCTGCATCATTCCCGCCACCTAGTGGCAGGCCTGTGTTTCTTACCTTGAAGAGCCACTGCAGCAGAGGCCGCGGGTAATCAGAGGCATGCAGGTAGAGGTTGCTCAGGAGACCCTGGTGCAGGAAGGAGAGCTGCCTGGGCGGCGGGGACCTGTGGGGCCGGGCAGGGCAGTCAGGTTAGGGCAGCTCCATCTGCCAGCACAGCAACCTTCCTTAGCAGGGGCCCTTGGCAAACTGGTCTTAGCCACACTTTTGCCATACCAGGATGCCATCAAGCACATAGGATCATTAAGGACAAATGCACTTTTAGAATCCTTGGCATGAGACATCACGGAAAAAAAAAAAAAAAAACTACTCATAATATCATCGAACAGTTTGTCATCTCCAATGCCTCTCACGGACACACTTCATGCTGTTTTAAACCCACAGCTGGCTAGTATCTGCCCTTGTTACTTGACAGAGTGGGAAACCAAGGTAAGGACCCTGGCCAGGTAAGGGGAGAAACGGGGTCAGCCATCGTCGCCTGAGGCCCCTTATGATGCTCCAGCTGTAAGGGGCAGACAGAATTACCCATGGCCACCTGAGTCTGTGGGTCCAGTTACACAGTATTTCCGCCTCGTCTTGTGTTTTTTTCTGACTCAGAGGGTTACCTGAGAGGATGGGAACATAACAGAGAGAGGCCCGGGCTGTACAGAGAGAGAGAGAACGAGAGAGAGAAAGAGAAAGAGAGAGAGAGAGAGAGAGAGAGAGAGAGAGAGAGAGAGAGAGAGAGAGAGAGAGAGAGAACTAGAACCTGTGTGTACAGCCCTGCAATCCTGTCAAACCAGGCTGCTGGTAGGGAGATACGCTCTGGCAGGTCACCTTGACCCGCAGTACCCAGATCTTCAGAAAGCAAAGCAGAATAGTCAGTTGTATGATACACTGCACTCTAGGGCTCTGGAAGAAACTTCACAAGGCTTGGTTGGACTTGGGCACTTTTGGGGTCCTGGTCACTTGAAACTGGGTGTGAACTAGGGTGCTCCTCCCTCTATGCATGCTTGTGCTTTTTCTCTGGAGAAAAGCACAAAGATGGCCAACTTGGATTCCTGGAAATGAAACCATGAAGTGAATATTCAGATAACATCGTGTGTCCCAATCCTTTTCGGCCAGCCCTCCCTGTTTTTTGAAAAGGACATCATACTGCCATCTGCCAGGAACAGGATGCTCCAAACCCAAGCTTTTCCCTTGAGCCAAGCTGCTGTCACTCTGAGCCTGTCCAGGCCATTTACAAAGCATACATCTTTACAGTCATTTAAATTTGGAAGAGAAGGAGACATTGTTCCTGTGGTCACGATGGGGTAACTGCTCTGAACCGCCTTCCTGTGTGCACAGGTCCTACCAGTTCTGTCCCGGATGCCCCTCACAAGGAAAGGGAGGGACAGCAGCCCCCAGCAACGGAAGTCGGAGTGCCTTACCCACTGGCAGGACCTGCTGAGAGGCCACTGGAAAGCAAGGGATTCTGGGAGACACTGGCTCTGGCTTTCCTCTGGGGTGGGGCACGCTGCCAGCTGCTCAGTGGGGGGGGGGGGCAACTGCACAAGCCCCTGCTGGCCTAAAGCAACACATTGTCAACTGCTGCTCTGAGGGAGAGTCACAGCATCTTCCTTCCGCTCCTCCTGCTTCCCAGTGTACTTCCTGCTGGGGAAACCAGGGCTGCCTGAGTTCATCCCTGTCAAGGTTGATTTTATCCATAAGGCGAGGAGCAGGGAGCCAGAGGAGGCCTTAGCCCATAGTGCACTGCAGCAAACAGCTTGCTAGGCATTCTGGGTGTCCAGCTAAGGAGATGCAAGGAGTGTGGTGAGACAGGGGAATGAACCGAGTATATCACTGGATGTGAGGTAGCCGCTGATCACACAACAGGAGGCAAACCAGTGCAGACACGGTCTGACTCCTGGAGACGAAGAACACACCATAACATCCCTGGTCAGGGAGGCCTGGAACATAAAGGAAGGAAGGTATGCCACGGAAACTCAAAAACCTTGGGCGACACAGTCAGCTATCAGACTCATAAAATCCAGTGTCCAATCTCCACACCAAGAATGATGACACGGAGCCAGAGACACAGCTCAGGGGTCAAAGGCGCTTGTGGCCAATCCTCATCATCTGATTCTGATCCCTGGGATCCATCCGTATGGTACACAGGAAGAACTGACTCCTGAAAGCTGTTCTTTGGTCTCCACAGGCATGGTGTGGTATGCATGTGTACACACACACACACACACACACACACACACACACACACACACACACACACACAGAGGTAATAAAAAGTTAAACAACATTAACAAAAACCCAAAATAAGAAAGAACACTGGTGTTGGATCCAGGTTCATGCCTCTGCCAACCCTGAGGTCAGGAGTTAGCTTGAGAATGTCAGAGGACTCTGGAGAAAGGAGCAGCAGCAAATGCCACACAGTCCAGACCGAGCACGAAGCATCCAGCTGTCATCCCTAGGATGCCAGTGAAGAAAAGGCCATGGAAGGCCCTTAGCTCTGACTGGAAATGAGAGGGACAGGGCACAGCCACCCTGTGCACACTGCTAATCCCCAGGCATCACAGCTATGACAGAGGGCAGATATCTACTCCCTCACTGCCGGCTGCAACAGAAGGAGGCTGGCAGGAAGTTGGCCAAAAAAGGAGAAAGGCAGCCAGCAGACGGCCAGTGGGGGACCGGCTTGGATCTTCACATGGTGGGCTTCTCAACAAGCTGCAGCCTCCCTGACCCTGACTGCCCACGGGAAGAGCCTTCCAGATTCTCCTGCATACTCCACTTTATGGGAAGAGTCTCTCAAATGGCGCGAATCCCAGCGACAGCAGGAGGATAAACACCACAGGGAACTATTTATACAGTATCGCTTCCTGGGCCCTTGCCAAGTTTTCAGATGCAAAGTCTCAATAAAACGCCCAAACAGAGCAGAATGAATAACGGTAGAAATGTCTGCCTGTGCCCGCTTTTCTTCTTTGTTTAAAGAGAAGAGAGTGAATGCCGCCTGTCACAAGCCCAGCTTTGCCCCTTTCCCTTCATTCTGAGGGTACCTGCTGCCAGCAGGACGGTCGACATTCCACAGCCAGCTCTAACCTGGCACCCTCTCCCAGGGAAGGCGCAAAGAGTAAAACAGGAGCTTGAGCTGTGGGGGCCAGGGTTAATGTAGGCACGATGTGCCACATAAGCCGAGGACGTTCAGACCTACCCATCTCCTGCTTCCTCCCAACCCTGCAACAGTCACAGAGAACAGCCTAGGCTGCACCTAGGCTTCTGACTGCTCATGTGCCCACACACCAAGAACATGCATGCATATACACATACACATACACATACACACACACACACACACACACACACACACACACGCACACACGCACGCACGCACGCACACACACATTCAAATGTACTCGTGCTGAGGAAGGCTGCTTTGACCTTCCTGGGAGCAGGCTTCTGCCCTATCCAGCATGTGGTCCTCCATCTAGTCCAATGCCCTTCCAATCCCCTATTTGGGAAGAACAAATTTCCTTTCAACTGCTGTCATTGAAGGAGGAAACAAGGTTTGGCTTCTGGGATCTGGGAACCAATGCCTGTCATTAAGGCATGTAACTTGGGTTCCAGGGAACCGATCTTAGGTCATATGTCAGGCAGCCTGGCGACAGGCAAGGGAGGGTGCTCTGGGGCAGCTCTAAGTTGCACATTGGGACTTGGGGCAGGGTTCCTGAGTGAGAACCTGAGAGCCTGCATGAGGACCCCCAGACTTGGAGGCTGAGCCTGTGTCCGGATGGATAGCATGCTTGATCTACAGGCATTTCCGTCTTGGCTCAGAGGGAAACGGTCTCCCTTCATGGAAGGTACAGAGGTGACTCTGCTCAAGAGGTAATAATAGCCACCCACTTCTCATCCATGATGCCTGCCAACTGCAGAGCGTTTGGAAAATGTGGAGTGCGACTTGAAAAATTACTTGTCGGTTCACAAAGCATCAACTTTAAATTGTGTGCACGAATGTGCTCCTGAACATGCATACATGTGTGTGACGTGTGAGTACACATACATGTATACCACAGCTCACAGGTGGTAGTCACAGGACAGCTCCTGGGGACTGACTGGTTCTCTTCTCCCTCACTGTGGGTCTGAGGGGACACACTCAGGACACCAGGACCAGCAGCAAGTGCCCTTCCTGGTGAGCCACTCCAGTGGCCCAGGACTGGCTCTTTGCATGGAGAAGCCTTATAGTCTTATACGTCCTCCTAAGGTGTCTCTGACCAATACCATAGGGTCATGACGGGATGGCTGCTGCTCCCACTCTTATGTCCAGACTGAAGACTGGGGTGTAACACGAAACAAAAAAGATGGTCCAAGGAAGTGACCCTTACCCGTGCCCAGCTTCCTTTACACAGTGTCACAGTGCTATGTCACATAAGGGCATTCCTCCAGAAAGCAAAGAGTCAATGCCACTGATCTGAGGCATTGCCAGCTCCATGTCTATTGCTCATTAGCATATCGGAGGGAGCAGGGTCTGAATTCTTCCTCTAGGGAAGCTGGGCAGCCACCTGGCTCCCTTTGGCAGGGCAGCTCTGATCCCAGATCATTTCTCCTAGGCCAACTCATCTGTCAAACACTTCCTGCCACCAGCCAGCCTGTTAGAGGCAGAGACCTGCCGTTGGTACCCTCCCCACCCTGCCCCTCCCCCACCACTAGTGCTAAGATAGCCTCCCTTTCTCAGACTCCCAGCCACGCCTGGCCACACCCAGCCTGCTGCTTCCCTCACTCCTCCGTCTGTCTCATTCTTTCTTTCCTTCTCTCTTTCATCACTTATTTGGTCCCGTTACTACGGCAAGGGTTACCTTTATCAGGGGTCACACAGACGCCTCATAATTTCATGGTACTTTCTAGGTTTGTAGACAATGATGCACTATTTGCAACAAAGAAAAGCTAAAAAGAATGTGTATTTTCAAAAAACTAGGAAAATGGGTATGTCAGGGCATTGAAACAACATATAGTTACTTATGACAGCATCACACTGTAAAACTGTAATTCTTGGACTTTGTTCTGATACCAATCAGAACAATCTATAAACGTTTATGGGCCGGCAAGATGCTGACATGGAAAAAGTGCTTGTTGCCATGTCTGCTGACCCGAGTTCAATTCCTAGGACCCATGTGGAAGGCCAGAACTGACTCCTAAAACTTGTCCTCTGACCTCACACACACACACACACACACACACACACACACACACACACAAGACAACCAAACTCTGAACACTGAGAATCCTGTGTTTCCAGCCAGGGACGGAGAGAAAAACTGTCCAAGCCTGCTGCAGTTGAGCAATGGCTATGTGGAGCTAGGGTTATACTGCTTATTCAACTCAGACAGGCTTGCAAGCTTCCAGGAGAGAAACCTTTAGGGGCTAGAGAGTTGTTCTTGCAGAGAACCTGGGGTTGATTCCCAGCACTCACACGGTGGCTCACAACCATCCCTAACTCCAGTTAGGAGATCCAGTGTTCCTTTCTGACTTCCAGGCAAGTACAAACATACTGCAGACACATATATTCATGTTTGTGTATATAGTAAGCACAAGCACCCCCCCCCTACACACACACACACTAAAAGAAACACCCGGACGTTCCTGGTAATCTTTAGAGCTGAGATGAACTGAGAACTGACAAGATTAAGCTCATGCGTGGTAGAAGCGGGAGGGTCATGGCCTCCACTGCAGGTGTTAACTGGCTGACGTTAACTGCTCTGAATGCTCTTTATCTTTCTCTTATATTCTTGGACATAAGCTCACAAGTGCCAAGTGTTGCGCATGATTGTGGTAAACCATTCAAAAAAATCCCCTTACAGAACAATTCGTCAGTGACTGTGTGATAATGAGCATGAATTTACTCCCAGAAGAGGAGGGGTAAGGCAGCTGCCCCTACTGTTATCAAGCACGCTTCTGGCTGGGGACAAACTTTGCAGAATTAATGGCACACAGACTGAAGACAGTATCCCCAGCAAATGTTCTAGTCCCCCACTGTCTGTGGGGGAAATGATCCATTAATTCCCAGTAGATAACCAAAATGGTGGCTGACATGAAGGGGTATACAACGTGTGTCCGTGTGTGGGTATGTGCACCCCTAAGTATGCACACAGACACCCGTGGAGTCCAGACAAGTGTCCTATCCACAGTGTACACTCTTAGCCCCCGAGCCACCTCCATCCCTTCAGTCCCAGGATGTGATAGTTTTCTTCCCAGAAGCAAGAACTTTTACCTTCTCACTTGCAGGAAACATCACGGCTTCGCGTTGGTCTGTCTGCATCCCTACTGCACTGCATTAGTGCTCTGCAGTCACTAAACAGAGCACACTTTGAGGTCAACCTGACAATGGAGCTGGCTACTAGGTGAGTAATAGGTGGGGAGCATGCCCAGTGAGGACCACCAGATGAAGGAAGGGTTCATATTCCAGACTGATGGTGTGGGATGGCACAAAATTTCAACATTCTAATCACAATGATACACAATGTAAAAACTTATAAATTATTTCTGGCTTTGCTTATTTAATATGTCCAGATCACAGGTGGCCATGGGTAATTGAAATTGCATGACACAGAACTATGGAAATGGACCCTGCTGTAGGTGACAGTGACCGCCATGGGCTCTGATAGCCCAGATTGGCCCTGTGCTAATTGAGATAAGATCCCCAGGCCATGCATGATGAGTCTGGCTTAAGTTGTTCTATAAAACTGGGGTACTGGGGTAGGAAAAGGCAATACAAACATGTAAATGCATGACCTGGTGTTTACTATAATGTAGACTTTTAGGAAGTTTATACGTCTAGGGACAGGAGAAAGGTCTCAGTGGTTAAGAGCACATTCTGCTCTTCCAGAGGACCCAAGTTTAGTTCCAAGCACCTACCACCGCCGGCCCCAGTGAATCCAATACCCTGTTCTGGCTTCCTCAGACACTGCACACATAAAACATACACACACACACACACACACACACACACACTATATTTTTTAAATTTATAATAAAAGTTTATAGCTGGGCAGTGGGAGTTGTAGCACTTGGGAGGCAGAAGCAGGCAGATCTCTATGAGTTCAAGGCCAGCCTGGTCTACAGAGTGAGTTCCAGGACAGCCAGGGCTACACAGAAAAACCCTGTTTATATGTAAATTTTCTAAGTAGACATGGATGACTGCATTACTGTGGCTGGCAACTCTGTACAAAGGGATACTTAATTGCAGAACCGAACTGTCTCCCTCAGATTGGCTGTGGTCATGTCTGTGGGCACTTTCTCGATTGCTGACTGATGAAGGAGGCCCAGGCCACTGTGGGCAGTGCCATTTCTGGGCCGGTGAGCCTGTAAGAACGATGGCTGAATGTGAGACTGGGAGCCGTAAGGAGTCTTTCTCCACAGCCTTGCTTTAGTTCCTGCTTGAGCGTCTGCTTCCCTTCCCTTCATGATGGCCCGTGTGTTTCATTAGTTACAGAAAGCAGAAAATCATATACAATTACCTCTAATCATAGACGGTTACATATTCATGTTGTTCAAAATACTGCTTTCCATTTTCCTATTTGAGATGCCTCGTCCCTAAACAGACTACATTGTTCCCTGCACTTCCCCTAGTATGTGTCTTAGGCTTTCCCTTGCTCTGATAAAACACTGTGACCATAACAACTTGGAAAGGAAAGGGTTTATTCTATCTTATACTTCCAGCTAACAGTCCATCACTGAGGGAAATTAGAGCAGGAATCCCAACAGGACAGGAACCTGGAGGCAGGAGCCGATGCAGAAGCCATGGAGGATGCTGCTCACTGGCCTGCTCCCTATGGCTTGCTTTGCCTGTTTTGAATAGCCGGAGGATCACCTGCCCAGGGGTGGTACCAGCCTTAGTAGGCTAGGTCCTCCTGAGTCAATCATCAGTCAAGAAAGTGTGTCACAGACTTGCCCACGGGCCAATCTGGCAGGAGCATTTCCTCAACCGAGGTTGATTCTACCTTGTGCCTACTGACATAGAAACAGCATGCTTACCTGAGGAACAGCTCTTCCAGTCGACTGTGTGCCTTCAGACTGGAGGAGTCCAGGGTACACGGCAAGGGCTGACGTCTAGGCAGAAATACAGTCTCACCGGGATGCACTGGCGAAATGACCTGCAGGGATATGGAGAACTTCTCCACCAGCATCCTGGAAGGTAAGGGACAAGACAGGAGTTAGAGGAGTACCCGGTTCTGAAGCAACCTACAGCATGCTAAGAGGGGACTGAGAAGAGGGGCTGTATATAGCTGGGACCAGGGTGGCGTCCAGCAAGGGGCGAGGAGGTACCAATTGACAGGGACCATGAGTGTGGGTCTCCGTGCTAGCTGAGCCAGCGACCCTTGAGCTCCAGGACTTAGTGAGGACCTACCACCCGAGGAGCCTGCTGAAATGCAGATCCCAACCAGCTATCATGCCTGTTAACCTGTTAGGAGATCTGCCCTGGGCACACAGACAGGGAAGGGACAAGGAGAGACTCTTTGCAATTCTATCATGACCCATTGAAACTAGATGAGGAAGGGAAAATAGTTAAGGTCAATCCTGAGAACCAATCGAGTCTCCACAATGAACTGGTACAGATGGTCAATGACAGTACACTGATGGGCGGGGCCAAGGTGAAGACGAGGACGAGGAGTGTGTGTGTGTGTGCGTGTGTGTGTGTGCATGTGTGTGTGGGTGTGTGTGCCTGTGCATGTGTGTGCGTGCGTGTGCGTGTGAGAGAGAGAGAGCTCTTAACAGACTCCCAGATCCTAAGTGGGTGCCTATAATTGCAGCTAGTATTGAATCGTATAACATAATGCCTTTTTCACAACCACATGCCTGTCACACACCATGACTGTAAGTTATGCAGTCTGAAGTGTGACAGGAAAACTCGCACCAATTTCTTTTTCCTTTTCCACAGCGTTGCAGATGGAAGATGGATCTGTTCCTCTGTAATCTTGGCAAACCACAGCAGACAATTCCCCCTTTCTTTAGGCTGGGAATGTTCACCTTTTTCTCTGCAGCCTTTTGCTGTATATCTGAACTCGCTGTATCACTACTCTGTGCTTTGGGACTGCCATTAAGTAAAGCAGGGGTTACCTGAACACAGGCATTGATCCTGTGGCTGCTAATGTGCTCAGCCAGGTTCCAGGTGAGTAATGGGTGAGTAGCGTATTCAGTGTGGATCCAAAGGGCAAAGGGATGCATACTGTCCTGGGCAAGATGGAGCAACACCTTGAGATTTAGTTACACTACTCAGCAGTTTAAAGCTTATGCACTGTTTGGGGGATTTTCCACTTAATATTTTCAGACAGCAGTCTACTATAGTTACTAAAAGAATGACAAATGAAACCAGATAAGGGGTAACTTCTCTACACATATGCAGAACATAACATGCCTAGACATAAGAGCGTCCCCACATGATTGACACTCCCAGCTATGACCCTGGACAGACTTAGGTAGGAAGGAGAGAAGAGTAGACATTTCCTGCTCACTCTATAAAGGTGTGTTAGTGATACAGCATGCACTAAAAAGCAACAAAGAAAACAAGCTACAGACATCATATTCCCTTCTCTAAAGGGAAGGCAGCCCATGGGTTCCAAACCAGATGTGCTTGCTGTGAGACATCAAAGCCCAGAAGAGGAGAAAGTCAGGGTCTATCAGAATCCGGGACATGAGTGGCTGGTTTTGGTGATGGGGTCGCATACCTTGCCACCTAATAGCCAGCCATGTGAATCTGACTCACTTTCTGGCCAACTGATCCAAGGAAAGACTCTGGTGGCATCACAGGGCTGTCCTGAGGACAAATGGCCCAATGGATGGGAGAGATGGTGGAAAGGCTGAAGATTCAGACTCTGGAGGCTTTCATAAAGAGTCCTGTAACTACCGTACAAATAGTAAAATAACGTTGTTTGGCCATTAGAATGTTTTTATCTATCATAGCTTTGTTTGTTACTTTTGTAGCTGGGAAAACTGTGCAAGTTATTTAAAAAACCAGTAATATGTAGGTTCATCTATAAGGAGGTCCTAGCCCTTTCCCCCAAGCCATCACTCAAAGGGACTTTTGTAATATGAACTGTAATGTATGTGTATCATTAGAGATTCTGAGACACTGTCACACGTCTAATTAGGGATTTCCTGTGCAGCCTAGAGCCGAGAATAAAGGACCATGTTGTGGTTTAAATATCTGCCTCTCCCTTCCCCCGCCCTCCCCTGTCTCAGCACACACATAAGGTCTTTTAACTTTTAAGAAAGAGATAATTTAAGATGTCATCCTGCCAAGATTCAAGCCAATTCTTAGTGTATGAGCAGACACCCCGCTCAAGATGATCAGGGTCCTTTCTACCACAGACAGTTGTGGCGCTCACATGACGTCTTGTCTGGCAGATGGTGCCTAGCCTCACCCTTGGCCTTATCCCTCCTAACCCATACTGCCTCCCTGGCCCTCACCACTTCCTCTGGGCCCATTCAAAGATGGAACAGGCTGGTAGTTTTCTACACCAGTGAGTCACGTTTTGATTTTAATGCAGAAGGTTGAATCATCCCCCACCATGACCCTACATCAAAACCAACACCTCAAAGCGGCTGTTGTCAAAGAGGCTTCCTCAGAGCACCCGAGAATATCATGTGCCCAGAAAATGAGCCATGCTCTCAAAGCCACAGACACCTTCTGCTGTAAGCTGTTACACATAGCTCCTTTCTGTGTGGAATTTCCTGACCTTCAGTCTGTGATTCCACAACCCTGTGAGTGCTCGGGAGAAAAGTCAAAAGGAATAAAATTATTCTTACTACTGAGACTTAAAAACCTATTTTATTTTAGTTTATTTTTAATTTTGGGCAGGTAAGATGACTCAGTGGTTAAAGGCACTTATCATCAGACCTGAAAACTTGAGTTCAGTCCCTGACACCCACCCATACGGTGGGAAGAAAGGTCAACCCCTATAATTGCCCTTTGATCTCTGACCTCTACACAGGAGCCATGCGACATGCATAATCCACCCCAAATACACAAATGTAATAAAAATTTAAAAATCTTTGTATGTATGGGTGTATGATGTGTTTGTATACCTGTGTGCTCATTTGGAGGTCAGAGGACAACCTTGGGTACTGGTTCTTACCTTGTTTGAGATGAAGTCAATCAGTCAGTCTCTCTCTCTCTCTCTCTCTCTCTCTCTCTCTCTCTCTCTCTCTGTGTGTCTCTGTCTCTGTCTCTATCTCTCTCATTTCTCTCCAGTCTCATTATGTATCTTGGTCGGCTTGGAACTTGCTCTATAGACGAGGATGTCCTGGAGTTTACAGAGCTCTGCTGCCTCTGCTTCCCAAAAGCTATGCACTAGCACATCTGTTTTTGTTTCTTTTTCGTGTGTGTGCGTGTGCGTGTGAGTGTGCGTGCGTGCATGCGTGTGTGTGTGTGTGTGTGTGCGCGCGCGCGCGCGTGTGTGTCTGTCCTTGGCTTTGTACACTCCAGGACAGCTGGCCAGCCAGTTTCCAGGGAGTCTCCCGACTCTGCCTTCTATCTTGCTTTAAGATTCCTAGAATCACAGGAGCAGTGCTATTCCCAGGTTTCCATGGCTTCTGGGGATTTGAACTCAGGTCCCCATGCTATCTAGCAAGTGCTTTGCCCACTGAACTATCATTTCAGCTAGATACAGAGACTGTACAGAGATTTTAAGAGGCTTCACTCCAAGGCTATGTGTCCTCTGAGTTGAGGGCCCTGAAGCCAAATCCATAGCTGTGTCAGATCCCAGTGACCACCACAGCATTCCTCACACACTGATTCAGCTCAGTCTCCTGTTCCACAGCTTGCTTCCTCAGGGGCCTTCTAGGACATCAGGCAGGACCCGTACCTGCCCTGCAGGGATCTCTCTGGAGCCTGACTACTTTCTAGCAACCCTGAGTCCCCATGCAGCACGCAAAAGGAGTTTGTTGTGCCCATCTGGTGGCTGACCCAGCCATGACATGTTCCCAGACTTTCACAGTAAAGAGAAACAGGAAACTCTTGAACAAAACCTTCAGCTTCACCGGCCTTTAGTCATTGGCTGCTCCCTCCAGTCTCGGGGGCAGCAGCTACACTCAGACCACAGTGGTTCTTTAGGACCTTGGAGCTGATTTTGACCTCTGATCAGATGGAATCAGCTCCTGTCTGTCCGCTCAGAGCTGCTTACATGCTCAATGGGTGACTCTTGTCAGGGTCTCATGCAACCCAGGCTGACCCCGATCCCTTCTGTAGCACAGGCTGACCCTGACCTCTTCTGTAGCAGAGGCTGACCCCGATCTCTTCTGTAGCAGAGGCTGACCCCGATCTCTTCTGTAGCACAGGCTGACCCCGATCTCTTCTGTAGCAGAGGCTGACCCCGATCTCTTCTGTAGCACAGGCTGACCCCGATCTCCTGACCCTCCTTGTCTCTACCTCCCAAGTACTGGGCATACAAGTGAATCCTACCTTGCCCTCCTTGGTGAAATTGTTGATTAAAGGCTCAGGGCTCCCTCCTCAATTTGGCTGCCTATTGAACAAACTCTCCATTGCAAAGTTTTTTCTTTAGTGATTGGCACACTTCTCGGGGATGGGGAGACCATTCATGTTCATCTTAACAAGGACTGATGCCAGTCAGGAGGCAGGATCCTTTAAACCAGAGTCTGCGGCCAGTCCCTGCCTGGGGTCCATTTCCATACCCAGGTATGCCTGGAGCAAAACTCTCCCACTGAACTCGTCTGCAAGGGAACTTTCTATAGGGAGTGAAATTATAACTCCAGAACCCAGACAGAGATGGACTGGCTCCAAGCCTAAAGTATTCCGCTGATGTCCTAATCTAGTCTAGATACAATCTGTGAAAAAAGCAAATGGCTGGTCACAAAGACCCTAAAATCATCTCTGGGCAACTAAAACTGTCATGGTTCCTTTGGGAATCCTGAAGGCAGGGCCCAAAGGATGTCAGTGTGTGACCCATCAAGAAACCCAGAGGGTGGTCAAGGCTGGGCTTGACCCACCATGCCTGGGCTGAGGCTAACCTGTGTACTCAGACTCACAAAAAGCCATGCCTGACATCAACCAAGCGAGGCCGCCTATCAGAGGCTGCCTTCCTCTTGTAACCCCCTCCAACCTGTCCTGCCACAACAAAAGACATCCCTCCTCCTGTCTTCCAACACCTGTTTCTTGTAGTGTCCCTGTG